AAACACTTCAGAACTTCTTTCTTTCTGAATATACTGCATTCTAATTCGCAGTCTCTCTCTCTCAAATTCGTAAGTGTGATTTTGCTCCGTTCTTTAAGTTCGTTGGTATCCTGCAGTTTGTATTGCCACTGTTGCAGGAAGGTTTATTCCGTTTTATCCTGGGAGGATTTAATCCATTACCTTGGCAACGTGTGAGGGGGTTAAAATTCCTTAAGGACACACAAGCAAATTGTGGACTCGGAATATTTCTTAAACTCTACTATTTTTCCAGATTTCTTTAATTCTTCTAACAGTTTTATTTTTATGATTTTGTGTTTTAACACAGTAACGCTCACAAAACATCATTATTAAGCTCGAGTCACAAATATTTACACCAAAGTTAACAAGATTGAGGTATAATGCAAGGCAAATTACATGTGAAAACATGAATTTTTAGCCTAACGTCAATGCTTCTTGATCATCAAATACATCAAGGAGATGCATATCATTCTACGTTCGAGAAATACGCCGCTAAGGCCCTCGAACAATGGATAACAAATCGGAGGGAAGAATCAAGGGAGAAGCAGAATTGTACTCAAAATTGATTAATAAAACTATTCTTGCAGTTTATTTTGCATACTAGTTTCTTGACACGTGCGTTGCACGTATATATCAAGTCATGTAATGCACATTTTTATAAAATAATATTAATATTATTAAAATAAAGCTTTGAGGAAAATATTTTTCTAATTTTTTTTATCAAAATATTCTTTTCTGTAAGAAACATACCCAATAGTAAAGATTGGACACTTCACATTTGAGAACATTCTGTTTCTATGAAAATTAAGTCGTGAACCAATATCTAATAAATCAGACGTATTACGCAGCATTACAAACACATCAAATACTTAAATTATTAAAGTATTGGAAGAACCTATTTAAAGGTACATAAAGCAGTAGAGTTGGATCATTCCTGATAAGTTATGGCAAAAATATGAATTGGCTTCATAGCAAATAGGATAAAACTTTTATTTCTATAAAGTTTTCCAGTAATGAACAAATCATTCACTAGGTGTACTATTTTTAAAAAATTGGATGATAATTAATGAAGACTTTGAACAAAGACCAATCTAGACGTATAATTAGCGTACGAACTATCCAACGGTAGATTAAAAAAAACTAAAAATAAATAGAATATCAAGAGATTCAAATATGTAACATAATCATTAATTGAATAAAAGATATACATAGATTGAAAAATCTTATTGAAACTTCACGTGAGAATGGTTGGCACATATCACTTATGTGGTTGTACCATATGAATCAACCATTTGGAAGATACTTATGTGGTTGTACCATATTAATATTTCTTTTTGCTTTTTTACAAAACTTTCCGCAGAATTGTATACATTACGAAAAATCTTACCAATTGAATGGAAACATTATATTTTTTTTAAAGTAATTTGTTAAAGCTACTTCTATGGTCTTCTCAATTTCTTGGGATATAGAAAAATTCTCCATATTGGCCAGCTTTGTTGATATTTCCCTTTTTTCTATTCATAGCTCTAAAGTTGTCTTCTTTAGATAAAACCATATTTATTTCGTGAAACATATATCACTGCATATCTATTTTGATTGAGAAAACTTTAGTGCACTTCAAATTCTTCAAAATAATAGCAGACAGTACACTACGTCTAGTATTAACTTTTGATCATAAGCCAAGTACACCACACTGTTAATATTTCAGGTGTCATTATCGTGGGTAACATCGATCTACTCTAATATTTACAGACAAAAATCACAAAGCATGCATAATTAAATAATGAGAAAAGTAACAACTTTCTTGATAGGTTCATGGGAGATTATTTGATGTCAAAGCATATTACATTGGCCGCTACAAGGAAAGTTTTATGTTTACCTAACCAAATGGTTCCGTCTTTATTTGCAAAAGACTTGCTGCTCGCTTGGATTTTTTTCGAAAAATCAGCAAGAAGTCCTAGATACAGTGCGAGAGAAGAACAGAAATTTTATTTTGGCGTATGAATATTGGTGTCTCTGTTTCATACTTTCATTCATGTATTGCCAAGTGCAAAACTGTCATTGCTTTTGCAAACCTTCTCAATATGACTTGAGTTGGTTATCAAAAACTGTCATTGTGTAGGACTTGAGTTGGTTATCAAAAACTGTGCAGGACTTGAGTTAGACACAAGCATGAAAATTGAAATAGGAATTCATGGGGAACCAAATCTGCTACATGAATCCCCTATGTAAACAACTTCATAGTAAACAAAAATTTTCCATCCTGAACCTACATTTTCTTGAAGGTGTTCTAGACCATGTACTGTTTATTCAACAAAACGTTGGATTGTAATGCTATTTAACACTTGTTTTCTTCACTGCCTTGCCAAGAGTTTCAGTTAATGCTTCCAAGTAGAGATGCATTCTGCAAAACAAGAAGCTGCTACCGTTTCGTACTTGTAGTGTCTTTTCGTTTGGGGCTAGCTGTTGCTAAGCATTAGGGTCCTTTTTTATTTTTTATTTAAATTAGTTATTTAGGTTTTAACATGATAAAAAAGAGAAAGTACATTATACATTCACACATAAAATCATTATTATTTTGATATTTTTTAAATCACATGAAGCGACTGATTTCCTAATAAATTGCAAAATAGCAAAAAGAAATAGTTAAAATAAATAAAACAAGAAAAGAGAAAAGCAACAATGGGCTAGTACTACCTTTCTTTGATGTGATTGAACAATATTAAAAAAGTAAAAAAGCCTTGGAGATTATGAATATATTGGCAACACTTTAATTGATTTTTTGTGCAAATTCAAATTGAGATGTGTTGGTTCTTTGAAAATGTTCTTTTGCAGCCTTATTTGCAATTAGATTAAAATTTATTCGTCCTTTATATTTTGCACCAACTCAATGAATAGTAATATAAATTTTCGCATACAATTTTATCACTAAATTTATACCTCACTTCAATTTTTAACTTATAATATAATTTACTATAAATACCGAGTAATGACTAATTTTTTACTGTTTTAATCATGGGTGTCAATGATTATATATTATATTAAAGGGAAGAACATGTTGAGAGATCCTTGTAGCTGCAAAAAGTAAAATGAAAAATTAACCTAAATAGCTGCTCATACAACTGCTTACACTAAAATAATCGATATATATATATATATATAAGTGTGTGTATGTAATGTATGTATAATCATGTAAAATAAAGTATAATCTATGTACGTTGACTAGAAAATATAAGCCATAAATTTTACCTGCTTTTCGTATAAAGATCCCAAATAAATACATGTTAGGCCCCGTGTGCAGCACGGGCTTCACTTCACCTTGTCAGTTATATATATTCATTGGCATAACATATATCAAATTGTGCTACATAGAACTATTTTAAAAGATCATTTCTTACCACTGTATATTTTTTAAGGACTCATTTAGGATTCATTGAACAATATAGTTCTTTGTGAAAACACCAAAAAATTGAATCAAACTGAAAATCGTATCAAACCGACACAAAAAAGCGATAATTTTTTGGTATAATTTAGTTTTGATTTTGAATTTTAAAAATCGACCAAATTTGATTTGGTTTGGTTTTAGATAAAAAATAGTAAAAAAAATTGGACTAAACTAAATAGATATATAATATGTATGTATTTTTTATATAATTTTTTTAAAACTTTATGATACATATTAATGATTTGTTACTTGGCAGTCTAGTTCTTTGAATTTATAATGATCTAGTCTTCCGCCTTTTAAATTTCAGTTTGATTGGTAGTTTTATTTTGTTAAGTCTAAGAATCTATTTCACGTAAAAATAAGATCAAATACATAGACAATCCCCTAAACTTGGTATCAAATTTTATTTAGATACTTCAACGTACCCATGTTCCTATTAGACACTATAACACCTACAAAAATATACTTATTGAGTACCTCATACGCACAAAAATTGATTCTCACTTGGAGTTGGGCGCGTGAAAAGCTTAAAAGTCAGAATTTTCTTCTCTTTCCTATTCCCTCTGAGACGGCATGAGAGCTCCTGCCTCACAGGGGCGGTTTTAGGGGCGCAAGGGTGTTCACCCAAACACCCTTCGTCGAAAAATTACACTATATATATAAGGTAAAATTTATTTTTTACCTCTATATATTAAGTTTTGAACATCTTTAACACAATCCAAAAGTATAGTTTAGTGATCAAGGGGATCAAAATTTACATAAGATCATCGGTTCAATTCCCACTAGCTAAAAAAAAATTTTTTTGAACCCCCTTCATACAGATTGTTCCCAGCAAGTTAGGAAATTTTGGATATGCATATGAAATCACATACTATCTCTAAGCATATAAAAGTAGTATGATATGTGTATTCTATATTCTTTGTATTTTATTACTCGAAGGTTGGTTCTAGCTAATTTTTTCTTATGGTTCCCTTCCAAATCCAAACAAAAAGAAGATAAAGCAAGAAGGAACGAAAACCGAAAATGAAACAAAAAAGATTTTTCGACCAGATTCAAACGTCTGAAACATTGAACTTCAGATCTCAAAGGAAATGGTAGCAGATATCCTTAGTCTCGCTGAAAACTTTCCGACGAGTCGTGGCGGAAAATACTCTTTCGGGAACCTCTACTACTTCCGACGAACCTAGTGATGCTTACCATTTTGACACTCTCTCGCCTGAACATGAAGGAAAGAACGAAGGGCAGGAGGGAAAAGGGGTTACCAGAATCTTTGCTTTGGTTTTAGAAGCTCTTTTTATTTTATCTTTTTACTTTATACGAGTCACCTAGTGATTAGTCACGTTATCCATGTCAGCAAGATTGGTCTTCACACGCTTCATTTTGAAGATAAATTGTGACCAAGTGTTCAATTGGCACATTTTTGTTGGTGTTGGAGTGAACAAATCTAAATGAAATCTGGTGACAGCTTTAGGGGCTATGTATGTATGTGATCTAAAAAAAAACTTTATTTTTAAATTATTCATTGCTATTTAATTTAATTATTATCAAATATATATGGTGAATAGCAAAAAATTTCGAAAGGTAATTGGTTTTATAATTGACATACATCTGCTACTATAGTAGGAGTAAAATCAATAACAATCGCAGGCAGTAGCAAATTAGGGTCCTGCACACGCCGCATTTTGACATTTATTCATCTCTATCGAACATTCCAACAATCAAATCCCAAAGCCCTAATGTAAAAACCTCACCTCTAATTCTCCAAGCACAATCCTGGGACAATGAGTACTTTCAAGAGAGCTTCAAGAGCTCTCAGATCCAACTTCTCTTTATTTTCTACTCCTCGACCCTATTTATCTCATTTTTTCTCTAATCAAAATGCATCATTTTGCTCTCGTCCTCGCCAAAACAGTAAAGAAGGATCAACTATAGATTTGAATGAGTACCCTTCTGATAATATTCGGAATTTTTCTATTATTGCTCATGTTGATCATGGCAAATCCACGTTGGCTGATAGGCTTTTGGAACTTACTGGAACCATTAGAAAAGGTCATGGTCAGCCTCAATACTTAGATAAATTGCAGGTAACTTCCCTTCATTCTTTATATTTCATACTTGAAAAACGTTTTCTTTGTAGCCTCAAGTGAAGGATTCTGATGTTTATGTTTGTTTAACAGTGAGAAAAGCTTAAATGTTAACCCTTTCGTTCCAATTTATGTAAACATATTTGAATACACAGAGAGTTTAAGAAAGAAATATGACTTTTGAAACTCGTGGTCTTAATTGTGTTATAACATTTGTGTGGTTATAAAAGTTTCTTGGGTAAAATGTGAAGTTTAAGTTAAATTATTTCCAAATTAAAAAAGACTAAAAATGAAAGAGTCACATAAAATGGGACAGACAGAATTCTTTGTGAAAATTTAATCTTTCTAGCTCATGGTCAAGGCATCTAGAGGTTATTTGATGAAGTGTGTGACCGTCTCTTCTAAAAGCTTAAGCTGTTAGAGAGAGGAATTTTAGTTACTTAATTATCTTTTAAACACGCCCTCACATATGCGCCTAATTTTTTGTTCATGACCAATCAAGTGGAAATTCTTTTGCATAATAGGTAGTGGTGAGGTAGACCAAAAAATTACATGGAAGGAAGTTGTCTCGGAAAACCTGTAATTTCTTGGAAATAATGCAGACTTAGCTAACGACAAGGCACAATGGAAGGAAGATCAATTTAGGTGATATCTACTAGTTGAGATTAGGTTTTAGTGTTGTTGGTACGTTAATTTTGAACCTATTGCTTTTCTGGGAGTATTTTGACGTTATCATAGAGTCATATGCCAGTAAAAATATAGATAATTTTTACTATTATATTACTTCTATTATTTATATATTTAACTTATTTTTACTTTTATTTATTTGGTACGATGATAGCATGAGTTGAGCTTAAATAGAGAAACATGGTCAGTGAGGATTCATATAGTCGACCCAACTTGTTTGGGATTGAGACGTAGTTGTTATCGTAGTGGTGAGACTTGAACCCATGACCTCTAACTCTCTGCTCTAAAAGATTAAGCTATTAGAGAGAACACACTTTTATTTACTTAATTATGTCTTCAATGTTATATTTGTTTAATAGTGAGAACAAGTGAACCTTAACTTTATCAAGATTTTTGGGTTGAATGAAATTTTCTAAACTTTTGGTTGGCTGTTTGTATTTATAAACTTTCAATTTTCCCGACAACAATGTAATTATCTCTCAATCAGACAGCTATTAGCAACAATCATGGTAACTATTTCAAGGTTTAAAGTTGCAATTTCTTATGATTTTTCTGGGTCTGCTAGCCTTTATCTGTAGCTTTTTTACTAATGTGATGATTTCCTGGCTCGAGATTTGGGAAATTGTGAGTTAGCTGTTGTAATGCATTTGCAATTGCTTATTAGTTTTACGTGAAAGTGAAACTTTTACATACATTTTGTGTTAGAAATGAGGGTAGTCCTATTTTGGTATGAGGTTCATGAAAATTTCATGCCCTTAGGAGTTTGATATTGTAGTGTTAAGGAATGTATGTCTTTCATCCTCCGTGTGTGAGAGAGGGTGGGGATGTGGGCAGGTAGGGGTACAAGGAAGAAGATAAGTTCGAGCAAGAGGCTATGTACTGCATGGATATGCATATTTTGCTATAATCTGAGGTTATATAAAGAAGTTTTGGATTATATTTTTGTGTGCGAGATATAGAGGTGAAGTGTGACACAATAGTTGTAATCATGTTGCTTCTATTGGTTTGTAGTGCACTTTTTATTTTTAGACTGGTTTACAATGAGAAGATGGACCAGTTAAGACTCCATCCTCCAGATATTCATGAAGTGATGTCCTTTGCTTTTGTTACACTTGCAAATGTTTTACCAGCTGCTTAGATATTGAAATGCGGAGGTCAACTTCTCCATCCAAGATTCTAGAAAAAAGGAGACAGTTTGTCATTATTAGAGCATTAATTACTTGTGCTCTTTATTCATATGTACTCAATGATATCTCTGTACTATATGATATATTTATGTGAAAAATCTGTAATTTGTCTTAGGTAGAGAGGGAACGGGGAATAACCGTTAAAGCTCAAACAGCAACTATGTTCCATCGTCACAAGTTCCTTGGTAGTGACACAGATTTTTTATTAAACCTGATTGATACACCTGGTCATGTGGATTTCAGCTATGAAGTTTCCAGATCTTTGGCAGCTTGTCAAGGTGCCCTTTTGGTTGTAGATGCAGCCCAAGGTGTGCAGGCACAGACTGTTGCTAATTTTTACCTCGCGTTTGAATCAAACCTGGCCATAATTCCTGTCATAAACAAAATTGATCAACCCACTGCTGATCCAGATAGGGTAAAAGCACAGCTCAAATCCATGTTTGACCTTGATCCCAGCGATGCACTATTAACATCTGCAAAAACTGGTCAAGGTCTAGAGCAGGTTCTACCGGCTGTGATAGAGCGAATTCCTCCACCTCCTGGTAAAAGCACTTCACCTTTGCGAATGCTTTTGCTGGATTCGTATTATGATGAGTACAAAGGAGTTATCTGCCATGTGGCTGTTGTTGATGGTGCTCTGCACAAGGGTGACAAGATTTCCTCTGCTGCCACTGGCCAAAGTTATGAAGTTTCTGATGTTGGTATTTTGCACCCGGAACTTGTACCGACAGGAATCCTTTTAACTGGTCAAGTTGGATTCATGGTCAGCGGCATGCGTTCAACAAAAGAGGCCCGTGTTGGAGATACTCTACATCATGCACGAACAGTTATACAGCCCCTTCCAGGTATCTTTGCTGCATCTTACCATAGATTTTTAGAAGCGAATTGGAACAGTTAATACAGATCAGCAACTTGCTAATTTTGGGGCTGTGGAGAACACTTCTTCCATAATCGAGATGTCTATACCACTTTATGATGTCTCTGGGAACTCCTTTGACGTTTCATCCACCCATCTCTCCCTGCATGCCCAAGAAAAATTGAGAAAAAGAAGCTTGTGGTGGATATTTCAAACAGGGCAGAGTAATGGTTGTGTTCTACAAACAAAAGCAAAAGATTGCATTATTTAAAGCTTGTGATTGAGAATGCATCCTACCAACAATTTTAGCTTCATACTATAACAGGTTTTGCTTTGCACATTGTCATCATGGGCGGAATAAAATATCATTATGAGACTTGGTGTGTGTTTCTCCATACTTGTTAACAGAGCTTATCTCATTGCAATATTTTCCTTGGTGATACATGAAGGTTTCAAGCCAGCAAAACATATGGTCTTTTCTGGCCTATATCCAGCTGACGGATCTGATTTTGAGGCACTTAACCACGCCATAGAGAGATTGACGTGTAATGATGCGAGTGTCTCTGTAACTAAAGAAAGTAGCACAGCTCTAGGTCTGGGTTTCAGGTAAAGATAATCTTAAGATATGAAATCTAACTTCACTTTTTTTTTTATCGTTAAAAATTTAACTTCACTTCTTTTTCCTAATTTGGTCCCATCTTATGCTCTGCCAACAGATGTGGTTTCTTGGGTTTACTTCACATGGATGTTTTTCATCAGCGGCTTGAACAGGCACTTCCTTTAATTCATTTTAAATTTTTTTGCCTTCAATTAAAAACTGGATTGATGAACACTAGAAAAGGAAGATTCTCTTGTATGAGCAATTACCGATCCCGATGTTGGTCTCTCTTGTTGGAGCCTATTTCTGCTCTCTCTCTCTCTCTCTCTCTCTCTCTCTCTCTCTCTCTCTCTCTCTCTCTCACGCACACACATACACACACACACACATTCACACAGAGAGAAAAATACGAAGAAGAAAGAAGTCTTGATTCCTGCCTCCTTTGGTTTGTTTTCCTGTTTTGAAACAAATTAAGAATGAACTGTATCTTGACTTCACGAGTTGCTTATTTAATGTTCTATTTACTGGTGTAATGGCTGACAGGAACATGGCGCTCATGTCATTTCCACTGTTCCTACAGTGCCATATATATTTGAGTACTCAGATGGAAGGTATGGTTATCTACATGTCTCTGTACATTGTAAACGCTTTTTATCAATCTTAATTTAATTCTGCTTCTGTTTCCTCCTTTTCTTGGTTCTGTCTTTAGCAAAGTGGAGGTTCAGAATCCTGCTGCTTTGCCTTCAAACCCCAAGAATCGACTTACTGCCTGCTGGGAACCTACTGTAATAGCTACAATTATTATCCCTAGTGAGTAAGCTCCCATGCACTTCACGTTATTAGATTTTTTCCCTCAACAATATGTGTCAGCTTTCTTGATCTCTCCTCTTGGAGCTAGTTTGGTGTCAGGGATGTCCATTTTTCCTCACATCATACTTCTTCTTGAAGGTATGTGGGGTCTGTTATCACTCTATGCGCTGAGCGTCGGGGAGAGCAGTTGGAGTACTCATTCATTGATAGGTGACTTTTCTTCTTACGTTGATTTGATGTTTGCTCATTGGAGATGTGCCTAGTATGTTGTGCACGCCATGAATAAACAGTCTCATCACATTTTTTTGTTTTTAACTTAAGTTTGTTCTTTTCTTTCATTCGATTATTTGTAAATGAAAGAACTGGGGAATTGCAGCCTTTAATGTCTTGCCCAATATTTTGTAGGAAAGACACTTTATATTAAAAAGTAAAGTTGATTCAAAAGTTAATTTTATTGTTCGACCTTCATTAGAAATTTCTTTTCATCTTTTCTTGAGCTCCTATGAAGTTCTAGATTGATGGTATACAAGTTTTTCCATCTTGTCCAGCCAACGGGCTTTCATGAAGTACCGCATGCCTCTGAGGGAAATTGTTGTGGACTTCTACAATGAATTGAAAAGTATAACATCAGGATATGCATCATTTGATTATGAGGACTCAGAGTAAGTTTTTCTCCTCTTCTTGCTCTGTTTCTCTTAGTACATACAAAACAACTCAGAAATTTCTGTATCGATCAAATATTTACTGTATAAAGGACTGAAATTTTGATTCTCTCAGGAAAAAAGTTTCCCTCAATGATATTTTCTTGTTGCAAGTGCTTTTGATAAGCCATATTTGCTTCTTCCTCTTTTCCTTTTTTTTCTTCTCTTTTTTTCATTTTTGGATAGATACCAGTCGTCAGATTTGGTGAAGCTCGATATTCTCCTAAATGGCCAACCAGTTGATGCTATGGCAACCATTGTCCACAAATCAAAAGCTCCGCGTGTTGGTCGCGAACTTGTGGAGAAGCTTAAAAAGTTTATAGACAGGTTTACTTATTTGCCTGTCGTTTGTTTCTTTCAGTTTTGGTGCTACTTCCTGTTTCTCATACAGTTAGTTGAACAGGCAGATGTTTGAAATCATTATACAAGCTGCTATTGGAACTAAGGTCATTGCCAGGGAGACGTAAGTTTAACTTTTCCATAGCTGTCATACATTTGGCAGACTATTGAATTATCTTGTGAATTCAGTTATCACCGGTTTCGTCTATTTCCCCATAACAAGTGGTCGCCAATGATGAAAGAATATGCGGCTTAATAGTTGTTTTTGGGCAGACTTTTGACTAGATTAGTGATTTGACTGGCAACCCACCTTATTCCCAATGTTAACTTTCTCTTTCTTTCAGTGTCTGCGAGCAGTTTTTTTGATAATGCTTACTAGTAATATGAATACCCTTACGCTTTGCAGATATTTAAGGCGCCATTTTTAGGATTCCATTTCCTAGTGCCATGACCAAAATGAACTCCTGTCTCCATCTTCTTTTCCAATTTTTGTTCCAATATCTTCTCATCATTTCTCCCGACACCCTCCCAGCCTCCAACCCCCCCCCCCCCCGTTTTTTTTTTCAAGTAGAAAATTTTACGAAGTGGGGGAATCTTTGTTGAAGTAGCTTCTTCAAAATTTCATTATCTTTTCAAAGATAGAAAGCCGAATCACTAGCAAAGGTAGGGTGTTGATAATTTTTTAAATCTCAGACTTTTAAGTGCTGGAAAAGTGAAGTCCACATGGCCGAAGGATCCAATAGTGGTTTCGCGCCCTTCTTCCCTTTTCCTCTTTTCTATCTTTCAGAAGGAGAAAAGTAATGGTTCAATCAATATGCTGTAGTTTCATTAGTAAACTATGTGTGTACATTTTTTAAGGTTTCACTAGGTAACTTTAGTTGTAACTGTTTAATTTACATTTCTTATTCCCAGGCTTTCTGCCATGAGAAAAAATGTTCTGGCAAAGTGTTATGGTGGTGATATTACAAGGAAGAAGAAGTTGTTGGAAAAACAGAAAGAAGGAAAGAAGCGAATGAAACGAGTGGGATCCGTCGATATACCCCAAGAAGCTTTCCATGAGTTACTCAAGGTCTCATGAAGACCATCTTAAATGCCTCCAAGATTTTAGGTACAAAAGGTAAAACCAATGTTTCTCGTTCCTAGTTACAATAACTGCATCTTTTCTTTTACCCCTGTGAGAGGCAAGTTATTGATAGTTGAATTTTGACATAAAAAGTAAGTTTTAGCCCCGGAGACTAGAGAAGGCACAGATGAATAGAAGATGAAAATACTATTGACGAGAAGATTACATCACATGATTTAGAATTCCTCTTCCAATGAAAATTAGTTAGTAACTACTGCCACTCGGTGCCCAACTGCTGCTTGGTTAACATAATTTTCTTTTATTCCAAAAAAATGGGTATCACCATATACAATGATGGATACTCTTGCAGCAGGTCAAATGTAAGTTCTGCTGCACAACGCAGTCCATGCATTTTCAGTGGAAGAAGACGAAGTTCAAAGGGTAAAGTCCCAACTTTGTGCTCAGTTTATCCTTTGTTGGAGGCACAGATGTTTGTTGTGGTCAAAGTTACCCCTTTTCATGTACCAAGGATGCGATAATTTTGCCCTTTGAATACCATGTTTTTATAAGCAATTTGCCTCCCTTTATGAGTACAGTGGAGTGTTATCTAGTTGTGACACGAGGAGAAGAACTCGTTAGGGGGTGGCATTACTTGAGTCTCTAATAATCCAGTTGAATCTGGAACTTGATTACAGAAAACTTGAGTGTTAACGTAGTTTGTTGTTGTCCCAGGTTTCAACCATTTGATGTAAGAACTTAGGTCGAAATTAGTAACAGCATTGATTCCTCTGTATTCTATTGCTGCAATGTCATGCACGAGCTGCCTCTTCTTGGGTGCCTCTTAAAGATAAAGAGGTTTAAGTATCAAAAGTCAATTACATTTTGCTTCGATAATTTCACATATGTTAATTAAACTTTATCATATATAACACTAAAGTAATACAATCTTTTTTTTTTTTTTTATCATATTAAAATAACTGGCATTTACCTACTAAAATAATAATGTTACTAAAAAAAGTTGGCAAATAAAAAGAACTTTTTATTACCAATTGAGAAATTTGTACCCAAAAAAAAAAACATTTAACTGAATTTGGGCAACAGCCCCAAGCTCAGTCTCATCACAAAATCACTGATCTACTCTAGGTCTACACTGCGAACGAAGAAAGTTCAATTCCTCCAGTTTCCTAGCAATTTTCAGCTTCATGCTTCCTTTACAACGAACTTCCTACACAGTTTGTCTGGCTATTCTTCTTCTTGGTGCTTGCTAATACTGAAAGCTCTTTGGTTTCTCTATAACCACAAATGGTAGACAGTTGCAGCCAGTGTTAGTTTAAATATTTCTGCATTTGAACTCTTTCCCCTTGCATTTATATTTAAGTTCCCATTTGGCTAGTCTCTCTTGTATTCATTCTCCCATTTGGCCAGAAGGGAATCACATTTTGCTTCGATGACTTCCGCTCCTAGGCCTTTGGCCAATTCCAGACCTGCAATCATAGCCTCATACTCGGCTTCGTTGTTAGTCAATTTTGCAGTTTTTATAGATTGCCTAATCATGCCGCCTGTAGGTGGCTTTAGAACTATACCGAGTTCGGACCCTTTCACGTTCGAGGCGCCGTCGGTGAATAAGGTCCATACCCCCGAAGATGTGCCCGTTTTTAGTAGAAGTTCTTTTTCTACCTCGGGCACGAGGGCGGGCGTAAAGTTGGCCACAAAATCCGCCAGAATTTGGGACTTGATAGCCATTCGGGGTTGGTATTCGATATCGTACCCCCGAGTTCGATGGCCCATTTGGCCAGTCGGCCCAATAATTCAGGCTTATGTAATATGCTTCGAAGAGGATAAGTCGTTAAAACACAAATACGATGGCATTGAAAATAAGGCTTTAATTTTCGAGATGCGCTTATCAATGCGAGAGCTAATTTTTCTAGGTGCAGATACCTGGTTTCGGCATCTCTCAGGGTCCGACTTACATAATAGACATGGAATTGCGTACCTTGTTCTTCTCGAACCAGCACACCACGTACCGCTACCTCGGACACGGCCAGATACAAATACATCGTTTCATCCTCCTTTGGGGTGTGGAGTAAAGGTGGGTTTGTCAGATATCGCTTCAACTCCTCTAAGGCACGTTGGCATTCTGGAGTCCATTTGAAGCTGTTTTTCTTTTTGAGTAGGGAGAATGTCACGACCCTAAACCCAGACCCGGTCGTGATGGCACCTCTCGTGAAGACAAGGCCAGCCGACACATCCAATTCGGAGTTAAACAACTAAACAACAATAAAACATGCTAACACATGATTTAATAATGCTAAACAGCAGATAATATCACAACAATGCGGAAGTACAACCCAAACACAGCCCGACATCGGGGTGTCACTAGTCATGAGCATCTATTAGAGTATAAATACAACTACAAGATCTGAAATATACAAAACAGGACCGATGAACGAATAGGGAGAAAAGCGGTGCTGCGAACACTGACAGCCACCTCGCTAAACTCCGATAACCCCTGCCTCCAATCAGCCAAAAACCCGCTACCGGGTGTATAAATACCTGCATCTGCACACAAGGTGCAGGGAGTAAAGTGAGTACTCCAACTCAGTGATTAATAAAGGTAAATAACAACTGAGCAGTAAGAAATCACGTAAAGCAAACCATCATGCTGTATAGAACCAGTGTAAAACCCTTTGAGAAAAAAGCAGTAAAGCTGTGAAATCTTTAAAAAATATCTTAGCTCAGTCTAAACCTCTTTTGAAAATGACTTTTTCAACAGTTACGCAATGATTGCAAAACTATAGTACCGATAAGCACAGAAAATCAGCCCCTCGGGCACAATTATCACAGTATAATAGGTAAAATGGCAAGTAAATATGAAAGATGAACACATAAGGTTTGCTCCTCGGGCTATATCTCAGAACAGTACCAGCCCCTCGGGCTCACTCTCAGCCCCTCGGGCTCTCTCTTTCAGATCACTCTCAGAATAGTATCATATAGTAACCGCTGCGGCGTGCAGCCCGATCCACATATCGCTGCGGTGTGCAGCCCGATCCATATATCGTCGACGGCGCTCACTAGGGGTGTGCAGACTCCGGGAGGGGCCCCTTACGGCCCAAGCGCAATATCAAGCCACCTCGTGGAATCATCACTCGACACTCGGCCTCACATTACTCGGCACTCGGCCTCACATCACTCAAGCCACCTCGTGGCATATAAAGTATCTCAGGCCCTCGGCCTCATATCACTCAGCATATCCTCACATATGGCCCTCGGCCTCACTCAGTCCAAAAATCATCACAAGCCCCTCGGGCATAGTAAAATAGTAGTTCTCAGCCCAAAACATCATTTAGAAATATCATTTAAGTTTCAAATCTGAGTAAAAGTGGCTGAGTTTGTAAAACAGTAGACATCAACAGGACTGAGTTCAAATAATAAGTCAAAACAGTGAGGAAATAGTGATAAAAATCCCCGAAGGGTGCAAATAGTTGGCACGAAGCCCAAATATGGCAATCAGCCCAAGTCATGATGATAACAAATAAGTTTCAGTCAAATATGCGGTAAAATTATCAAATCGGGACGGACCAAGTCACAATCCCCAGTAGTAAAAGACCCCACGCTCATTATCCAGCGCGTGTCTCACCTCAATATAGCACTACAATGTGCAATCCGGGGTTTCAAACCCTCAGGATATCATTTACAATCATTACTCACCTCGAACCGGCAAAATCTCTAGCTCGCTACGCTTTGCTCCTCAAATCGGCCTCCACGCGCGTCGAATCTACCCAAAATCAGAGCAAATACATCACAATATGCTAAGGGAACAAAGCCCAAGCGAAAACAATCAATTACGGGCACAAATTCCGAAATTACCAAAACCCGAGCCCTGAGCTCACTTCTCGAAACTCAGAAATTTTTACATCATTAGATTCCTTATCTTCCCACGAGTTCGTACATATCAAAAGTTCTCAATTCCGACCTCAAATGGTCCTTCAAATCCCAATTCAAAAGTCCAATTTCTCAAGCCCTAGTTCTTGAATTTTAGGCTTAGTTTCCATGAATTTCTAGGTGGTTTTCACAATATAATCAAGTATTGAGATCAAAAATCTTACCTCCAAGAAATCCTCTTGAGTTCCCTCTTCAATTAGCTCTCTCAAGCTTCCAAGTCGCCCAAAAATGGAGGTTCTTAGCCTAATCGCGGAAATGGGCTTTTAAAACATTCTGCCCAGCACTCAATTTCACTTAATCGCGATCGCGGAAAAGACCTCGTGATCGCGAAGCACAACCCAACTTTACTCTACGCGATCGCGTTTAACCTCACGCGAACGCGATGCTCAAAACCTTTCCACTACGCGATCGCGAATGATACCACGCGACCGCGATTCACAACAATAAAAACATACGCGATCGCAGATCCATCTGCGCGAACGCGATGAACAACCTGGATGCCTTCCCTAAATAACTCTACGCGGTCGCGAGCCCCCTCACGCGATCGCGAAGAGGAAAATACCTGCAACAGAACTGAAGCCAAACCTGCAATTTCCTGCTATCTTTTAAGGCACAAAGTGGTCCGATTGACCACCCGAAACACACCCGAGGCCCTCGGGACCTCAACCAAATATACCAACATAATCCATAACATCATTCAAACCTGTTCCAACCATCAAAACACCTCAAACAACTTCAATACCCAAAACTCATCGAATTCAAGCCTAAGTTTCCAAAAACTTCCGAAATACACTTTCGATCAAAAACCCGACTAAACGATGTTCGAATAACCTGAAATTTTGCACACACATCATAAATGACATAACGAAGCTACAGAAACTCTCGGAATTCCATTCCGACCCTCGGATCAAAATCTCACCTATCAACCGGAATTCGCCAAAATACTAACTTTGCCAATTCAAGCCAAATCCTTCCACGAACTTCCAAAATGCATTCCGATCGCGTTCCTAAGCCATAAATCACCTAAAGGAGCTAGCCAAATCATAAAAATTCCAATCCGAACTCATATACAATTAAGTCAACTCTTGGTCAAACCTTTCAAATTCAAAGCTTTCAACTGAGACTGTTCTTCTAAATTCATTCCGATTTTCCTGAAAACCAAAACCAACGATCTACATCAGTCATAATGCATTACACGGGGCAAGTCATGCCCGAGAACTGGCGATCAAAGCGAAAAAGGCTCAAAACGACCGGTCGGGTCGTTACATCCTCCCCCACTTAAACGCACGTTCGTCCTCGAACGTACCCAGAGTTGTTCTAGAAGCCAACCAATAGCTGAATAACTTTACCATGCATATAACCGGGGGTGATCCCACGTCACCCTATCTCATATAGGTCCGATAACATATAGAAACTGAAATTACGCAACCCAATCTAGCCCGTGAATCATAGAACCACCTTTTCACTTCTGAAACCATCAATACGGTCAAAACCTCACACCGATACTCTGAATGGACCCGAACTAGCTCTAGCAGCCCAAGCCTGCAACCTCAGGTGCAATTATATGATATACCACATAACTCAAACACATGTAGCGATAAATTCCATTCACAGCGGCTGTCCACAACAACCAATTACCGATAGAAAACCCCTTATCAGCTAAAGTCTCATTCCAACGCTTTCATATACTGCCAACGATCAATGAAACACGTAATAAACCATAATCATTTCTCAGATCCATTCATGAAGCCATTTCTCCTCTGGCAATTACCATAACAAATTTTCGAGCCGAACCTTGATATTAACCTTCCAACATGCTGAAATCGAATTCGATCGTATTCATTAATGATCCCAACGATCTCCTCTAGTTCGACACACCACTCTGGTGACATGACACATCAAGAGAGGCC